CCCAGAATGGGCCCATTTCCTGGTGCCTCAACCTCTACCACGACCTCCCCATGAATCACGACCATGTCTTCTATTTCAACGACCACGGGCTTTGCCATCACCTCTTCCCAGGGAGAAGGTTAAAGCAGACCCATCACTAGTTCTAGTAGGTGATGAAGAAGAAGATTTTGTGATCTGTTGAAGGTGAGAGTCTATATTAGTGAGAGAGGGAAGTTCACTACTAGTTAAGATTTGCTCCCGAACATCATGATACTAAGAATTAAGGCCATATAGGATCTTTGCAACTCTAAGTTTCTCTCTTTGCTTTTTAAGAAGTTTCATATCATTAATTAGGGGTTGATAAATATTCGACTCTTCTCACATACGTCAAAGAGAACTATAATAATCACTAAGGCTTTATCTCCTTGCTGTAGAAGGCACATGCTTTTATAAAGTTGATAAATCCGAGAAACATTTTTATCAGAGGAGTGCATTTTCTTTATAGCTTTCCATAATTCCTTGGCAGTATCATAGAACATGACATCGGCTCTCACACGCAGTTCCATACAATTTCATAACCATGTCATAATTTGATAGTTCTCCGTAAGCCACTCATCATACCCACTTTTTGACTCTTTTGGGCCATATTTAGATAAACATTTCATCTTACCCCTTGCGCTTAGAAAAACCTTTATAGATTGGGCCCATAAAAGGTAATTGGACACATTGAATCTTTAAGATTGCTGGAATTCCTATTATGTCACTGAAAATAGGAATTCCAGGTTTACTTTCCTCGGCCATAAGAGCAAAACAATATCAAATAAGCAAGGTATGAAAGCAGTGGTTTAAAAAGCGGATCGGTGACCCGGATCGGGCATCCCAAAAACCGATCCGGATGGGCGAATCGGCGATCCGAATAGGGCCCAATCGTTCGGATTAAGCCTTAAAAAAAATCAAAAAACTTATTAAAATTCATTATAAATGTTGTTTTTTAGGAATCCAATAAGAAATGGGGGTACTACATTATTAACTTTCATTGTTTTCATCAATTTATGAATATTGAGATGTTCTTTTATTGTATGAACTTATGTCGACCATTAAATTTACATCACACAAAAGAAATCATAGAATTAGCATGGATTAATTATATAATCATATAT